ATAAGAAAACTGAGGCCCAGGCCAGGCATGGTGGTATATGCTTTTAATCCCAGCACTTGGGAGGCAGAGACAGGTAGATCTCTGTGAGTTCAATGCTAGCCTGGTCTACACAGCAGTTCCAGGCCAGCTGGGACTACAGGGAGAACCTGTCTCAAAAATATGAAAAAAAGAAGAAAGAAAGAGAGAGAGAGAGAGAGAGAGAGAGAGAGAGAGGGAGAGAGAGAGAGAAGGGAGGGAGGGAGGGAGGGAAGAAAAACTGAGGCTCAAGGAAGTGAGGAGCCTTCTGGAGGCCTTGCAGCAAGGATGGGCAAGGGCAAGATTTGAGCCCAGGCACGGGCCAGATCTCAGTGGAACAAGGGCAAGTCCTCCAAATCTCCCTGTGGGAGGAGGAAGCTCTAGACAGGCAAAGACTTCTGAATCAGTGCCTGGCACAGAGCAGGTAGTTAGGTCTGGTGGGCACTGTGATCACCAACATGAACTCGGTCCTCCTTGACCCTCCCTGAAGGGTCTGGGCCTTCCAAGGCTAGCCTGCACTTGGAAGTTTTGGGGATGGACAAATTCACTGACTAAAGGCTAGCCACTGGCCAGATGAGCACAGGACACTGGGATACTTGGATTCTGCACAGGCGCAGTCGCTGCTGGCTCTGCACAGTTTAGGTTAGTTTTGTTTCTATCCACAATTGTCTATCCATCCACCAATTCATCCACACATCATTTATCCATCCTCCTACCCTCCCACCACTCATCCAGTGGTTCATACATACATCTATCAGGCCATCCATTCATTAGTCTATCTATTCACCTACTCATCTATCCATTGTCCATCCATCATTCATCCATCCATCCCATCTACCCATCCATCTGCTTATCCACCCTGCCTTCAGCTACCCTCCTCTGAACCTGTGTCCTCACTTGAAAACAGGATATACAGGATCTACCTTGGGGTTGGTGTGGTAATGCAAAATGCCTGGAGTCCAGTCCCATCATGTCAAAAGATCTGTGTCTGAATGATACCCTTGATTTCTGAAGGTGCAGAGACAAGGGACCAGCTGGCCACCCTGACCTCTGAGGTCCAGATCAATACATCCTTGGGCAAGTTCTCAGCAGGACCATGGCACCCAGGGTGGTCCAAAGGAGCCCAAGGCAGGCATGGTGAAGGATAGGGAGTTTGAGAGAGTCAGACACATAGACTTTCAGGCTAAGGGAGGTTCAGCTACTGTATGATCTTGGGTAAACTTACTCTGACCCTGTTTCCAGTGTAATAAGTGTATGGTGATGGTCCTGACAGAAGATGAAGTAGCCTGGACCAAAGTGAATAGCTTGGACTACTGGCCTGACAAATGCCCCTGAAACTCTCACCAGGAGGTATGGAGGAGGCACTTACAGCAATGCTCCTGGGAAAAGCACCCAGGAGGGAGCACACTGTACCTCCCTCAACAGTTGGATGGACAGATGAGCAGATAAATTCTGGGATAGAGCAATAAAAGCAAACAAAGGATAAGTGCATGCAACAACATGGATGAGTCTCTCAAATGTGATACTGAATGAAGAACAGATGCTTCACAACTGGTCCATGTGTAGAGAACAAGAGACTATGGAGACACCCATATAACACCCTCCCACAAAGGCTCAGCAAGGGTCTTGGAAGAGGGAAGAAGAGGTGGAAAGATTGTAAGAGGCAGAGGTGGTGGATGAACACAAGGAAACCATGTTGTCTGGATACCACAGGGCAGTTGCACATATGAACCCGTACACTTGTGACAACATGTATAAGACCTGCGCAAGCCCAAGTCAGACAGAAACCCAGCATGGATGGGGGAGGTGGGCAAGAAGCCCGTCTCAGCTGAGGAGCTATTGGCAACTGATAGCTGGCGGGAGAGGGAGAGTCAGTTTTCTTCAAGGGTGTGACACCATGTGGGTTGGACACATCCTGGTGTGTAGACCCCGCCCCCAACACATAACCAAGAACATTTGAGGAATTGGACTTGATGGGCCAAGTGGAGAGACACACAGAGAAAAAGAGAGACAGAGACAAAGAGAGGACAGGATGTGAGGGGGTAAGAAGGTGGGATGGATCTGAGAGTAGATGGGGAGGAGTCTGAATATGATTGAATTGTATGAAATTCTCAAAGATTCAATAAAAATATTGATAAAAAGTCAAATTGAAAAGCTTTGAAAAGAACAAATGCAGGTTTCTGGGCACAGAGGCACTGCCCCTCCCAGAACTGGGGAAGCCATGGTAGGAGAATCAGGAGTCCAAGGTCATCCCTGGCTACATGGAGAGTTTGAGGCTGGCTTGAGCCACATGACATGCTGTTTAAAAAAAAATAGATGCAGTTGGATTTTCTGCATATACAGCTCAAAACGAGCAACAATAAAGACGGACCTTTGGGCTGAGCTATAGTTCAGTGGTAGAGTACTTGCCTAGCATGTACTTGCAACTGGGTTCCATTCCCGACACTCCAAAAAATAAGATAAACTCAGGGCTAGAGAGATGGCTTAGAGGTTAAGTACCGGCTGCACTTGCAAAGGACCTGAGTTTGATTCCTAGCACTGCCTGTAACTCCAGTTCCAAGGGGATCCAATGCCCTCTTCTGACCTTTTTGGGCATTGCAGGACATGGGTACACTTACATACTTGCAGGCAATACACTCATACACATAAAATAAAAAGAATAAATCAAATACTTAAAAAAAAAAGATAAACTCAAATCTTTGGTTTAAAGTGACACACAGTGGGTGGGGGGTGGGGTGGGGTAGGGTAGGGATGGCTCAGCAGGTAAAGGTGCTTGCTGCCAAGACTGATGATCTCAGTTTGATCCTCAGGAGAGACCTACATTATGGAAGATGAACCAACTCCCTCAGATTGTCCTATGGCCTCTTTACATATGCTGTGGCTCAAGTACACACAGCAAATAGATAGATAAATAGAACAAAAGATAGCCAGGCGTGGTGGCGCACGCCTTTAATCCCAGCAC